TTCACATACATTGGAAGAACTGGCACAACTCAGAAGTGGGCCTGAGAAGACAGAGAATCCAGCAAGCTCCAGCGCAGGCCACACAAGTATCATAGTATAGGGCCATGCAACTGGACAAGAGTGGTTCAAGTGTGGCTTGTGGAAGCAACATGTCTATTCCACATACTTACAGGTTCTGGTTAACATAGCTACCGTCTTAGCCCATACAAAACATCCAGTCATTAAGGCTGTATCTCCATGGGAAGTTTCCCCAAAAACAGGCATAGAAGAGCATCCAAGATTCATGCGCTACAGGTGGCATCTGATGTTTCACAGGGAACAGATGGAAAAAGATGTATCTTGTTTAGGGTCTAGGGTTTAGGGATTAGGGTTGAGGCTTTGGACAGATACAAGACAAGCAGGGGTTAGATTGCCAGGGATTTCTCTGTGGCAGTGTAGCTCAAATGTGGGGTTTAGGGTTTATACAGAATTGGGAGCAGTGGTAGCTCATCAGACCTTTCTTGCTTTTCATGTTTTGTTTGACAGGTTCTTATAGTAATCCTGAGAGGAAAGGTGGAAGCAGGGCAAGCTGACAGTCAATCCTCCACGAGCTTGGAGCAATCAATGCTGACTAGGGGACCTGTTGCGGCTTCGCCCGCAATAATGAAGGAATTGGAGGGTTTGGTGGTGGTTGGATTTGAACTAAACTGTTGTGGGTTTCACTTCCCATACCTGTCTCCATCTTACCACAATTTCCCCTTAGTTCGCAAGAAGTATACTTTCTCAGATATCAGGAGATAGGCAATCCTACCGTACAGCATTGTACTGGCGGGGGGTTGCACTGGCGGACGAGGCACGGCCGTTGAAACTGCGCGTGTGTGCTTATGCTGCATGCGCGCGGCTGTTGAAACCGTGCTTGCAAACGCCATGTTTGCAATTGCCATTCTGTTTCGTTTACTCTCTCTCTCGCTCGCTCGTATGCGCGCGCGTGCGCGCATGGGTGTTTTTTTTTTTTTTTTTTGAAAGGTCTCGATGGACCATGGATCAAATTTGAAATTGATCGGCGCAGATACTACACTTGCTCGTGTTGGGGGGGAGGGTTGAGGCGTAGTAAGTTAGATTGGGGTGTATCTCTCTCGCGCGTGCGCGTGCGCGTTCGCAGCATGCACTTTTTTATTTTATATGAGGCTCTCGATGGACCACGGATCGGATTTGAAACTGATCTGAGCAGACACCACACCTCATCGGCTTTCAAACTAATCGGGGCAGATACCACACTTCATCGTGTGTGTGTGTGGGGGGGGGGGGCGCATAGTAAGTTAGACT